ATTGCTTTTTATAGTCAGTCAGGATATCTGCAATGTATACATATATATAATACATATATAATGTTTTTTCTCCTGAAAGACTATTGAATCTGTAAGTTTATGAAGTGTGAGTCATACAAAACACATGCTGTATGATTTCTTCTCTTTAAGGTAACAAGTAACTGTCGAATAGCACTTGTTTCTAGTTAGATAGCAGGCATTAACACTAGTTACTACTCCATAAGTAGTATTCGTACCCCTAAGATGGTACTAAATAATATGCCAGCATGGTGTCAGGTTGAATTACTGGCTGCATTGTCTTTAAGAGACCATATTAAACCTATATTTGAAGTATTTATGGTCCTCAGAGATCTTCACTGCACCGTGAACAAGGTTACCCCTGGAGTTCTGACTAAATCACATTTTCGCAGCTGCAAAAAAACCCAACAAACTACCACATTTTGCCAACCTAAATTTTCCAATGCATTTTTGTTCAAAATACTCTACACTCCCCTGCCTCTCATTGGAACTGCTGTGTAGCACCTGCAGACACTTTTAGAAGCCCACTTGTCAAGAGGTGCTCAGCAAGGTCACGCCACAGCCTCAATGGGAAATGAGCTTTTATTTCACTCAGGCTTGGGAAAAGTGCTCCAACCACATTCCCCCCTAGAAGTACAAGTCAAGCACTGCTACTTTGAACTGGGACAGGCTAGACACAGCAGCATTTACAGAAAATATTAAAAAGATGTGGCCAGTGGTAACTTCAGTGTTGCCAGTTTTAAGTAAAGGTAGTTTTAGACACAGGATCTTTCAGAAGTTGTCACATGTAGAGCTCTTTTTAAGCTGAATTGGAATTTTTTACAAACATGATCATTATTTTCCAGTTTCTGTCTGTTACAGAAGCAGAACTAGTAACTTTGTAGTGAAAGCTTATGATTTCAGGTTGACACATCACTGAAATAGTCAAGAGAACTAATAACAGAGGCTTCTGCACTCATAATATTTTCCCAGTCCCTCCATCTTTTACAAGCCTCTCAGTACACTTGTGACATGCTTGCTTAGGAGAGCACCATTCAGATCCCACAAATGCTTCAAAAATGCAGAAGAATGCCCAAAGAAAAGGATAGAACATCCCAGAAAATGGAATTTTTATACCGACAGCAGATAGCTCTTCCACTTTATGTGGGACAACTCTTTCTAGGGCTCTAAGTCTTTAGAGCATGAAGAAGGCATGACTTCTTCTTTGGATTACAATACTTAAATTTGTGTGGAAAAAACTGCAGACAGACTATGTCACCCTCTCTGTGCAAAGACTGGTCTATCCATCACTTGGCACAGCAACCCAGCTGTTGACTCCCCCTTCTTAATGCTTTTTTTCTGGAACTGGAATCCAGTAAATAACTTACTTTGCAAGATTGCCATCAACTTTCATCAAAGAAAACAGAACCCTTAGTTAAACTTCAAATGAAATAGAAAGTCACTTATCTAAGCAACATCAGAGATAAAAACAGACTTCAGATATTTTTGTTACATGAAATTCCCCTAGAAAACTAAAATAGTGTCCCACTGAAACTTCTCTCAGCTTGTCCACAATATGAGGTACAGATATCTTGAACACCCTCATGTTTGTACATGTCTTTTCCTGCAGAATCATCTCTTATTCTGATTAAGTCTCTTTATTTGAAAGTTATTTGAGATAAGCAGAGCACAAATAAGCACAACCACGAGTGGAGTTATTTAATAATAGCTACAGAAATTAAATTTACATCTGCTTTAATCAGAATTACCTTTCAAGTGTGAACAAGCTCCTTATTACATTGTTAGAAACAGAGGCTGAATTACAATGATCTGTTTAGAATACAGCTGCACAGATATACAAGGAAAAATAACTAAAATGTATTATTTTCAAAAGTACCTTATTAAAGCTTTTGGGTAAAAGTCACTGCCATAATGACATAGGGGACAGGCCACAGAAGAAGCATTTCAAAGCAGCTCCACATCCCCCTACCTGTGTGAAAAATGTATTATAAAGAAAAAGAATAATTACACACACAACCCCAAGTGGACCATACTTCATGAAGAAGTCATTTTTAGAGTAGAATCAATATGTCTATAGATTAAGACAATAAAATATGATTATGTGAATTTGTTCAAATAAGTAGATACACACATAACCCCTGTCTTAGCATTTAGCAGTCTTCTAAGCAGTAGGAAGGAATAAAAATGCTTCCATTCTGATTACTTTTTTTTGTCTTAACGTCCTTTTAATGCAAGAAGAGCAACAACAGCTATAACCACTCAGAAGGAGACACACAAATTACATTAGCAAGAAGTGATTCCTGCTGGCATGGCAGTTCCAGAAGCTGCTGTATTGATCCCTTTTGGACTGTCAGCCAGATTTCTTCTCTCTTCTGATATTTTCGAACAACAACTATTGCTTCTTGAAATTATTTTCCTTTGTAGAATTAATGATAGCAGCAGCATAGAAACACATATGTTTTACAAATTGATTGTTACTGCACTTAGCTAACTCATTTGTGTGATCAGACTGGTATGGAAATCACTGGGGTTCTATGTTAGGACCTTGGAAACCATAACAGGGCCACAGCTTGAACGCTGAAGTGCCTAATGAGAATTTTTAAACAGTGGCTGTTGATCACTCCCTGAAGAGAGCAAGAGAACAAGTCAATTCAGTTTGAAAAAAAAAATCTGACTCATGGACTGTGCAGAAATGGGGCAGAAGCTGTGTTTGGCAAACTCTTGATGCATAAAAATCAACAGCAAGGACACTAAGTTAAAATTGTTACAAACATTTTATAGAGGAGCAATGAGGAAAATGAAAAAAATAAAGAAATGGAATTTAAGGGAATGTAATCAGTCACTTCTCATTCCTTTTCCATTATTTTATTTTTTTTAAAATTTATTTTGTGTATATTTTATCCTTCAGCTTTTATGTGTGAAATCTGCTGCTGTGGACAGAAGGACATTGCACATCCTCACTTACAACGTGAAAGATGATGGTGTAAAGAAACAATAGTGCATAAATTTGCAAATAAAGATAACACTCCTCTTACATTTACAGACGTGTCAGTTAAAGAACTTGTGTTTTAGATGATACATTAATATATTTTAATTTATGGTTGACTATAACTAAAGTATATTTAATGTATTTATATTCCCCCTTTTATTCTGTTCTTCACTTTTGCTGATAGTTTTGTGCATAAAGAAACGACTGAAATAGAATCGTATGTATAAAGATTACTGAAAATAACAATTGAAATATAAGGAAAGAATAAATAGTTTCATTAAGAAGAAAAAATATTCTGAAGCAGATTGAGATCTTTGTTGAAGCAAATAACATAACTATGATGCAAACAGCAGAAGGAAAAACAGCTTTCTTGTTTAAGATACAAAAGGGGCCATATTTTTGAGCCTTAAGCCAATGATCATCTCTCAGAGCACCAAGTGCAGTATTTGTGCCAACATCTACATGAACTCCAGATCCAAAAGGCTTTCAGGGCTGGGCCTTCCACCTCAGCTCTGGCATGAATTCCACTGGCTGTAGTAGAAGTTTTCATTGTTAACAAACCAAACACATTATTTCCGCTGGAGAGGATTTTAAAGGCCCTCATAGGAGAGCCAGCTGGAAAGCTGTAATCTCTGAAGTTCCTGGCAGAGAGTTCACATGGTGGCCACCAGACACTTTATCTTTAGACTCCTTTTTCTTATTTAAATAATTTCTTAAGGAAGTCTTCACTAAGTGGAAACCGTGGCTTGCTTCATCAGAGTTTGGCACCTGCACCATCTCGGTCAGCCATACAATATCAGGAGATAATTAGGCAACACTTATTGTGGTAGGAAGAATATTCACCACCTCAACTTCTCAGCCATTTTGAAAGACAGAAGGGTGGACATGGACCGTGGATTTGTAGTCCTCAGGACACAAGTGGTCAGGCAAGCTGGTGAAAAAGTCAAATCTACCTCTTTTTGAGGAAAGGCCTGGGTTCCTAATGGATGCCTCTAGCAAAGAGGCTCAAGAGATGCCTGATGTTACTGATGCTACTCTTAATTATACACCAGGAAATAAAAGAAATCTGTTTCAAATGTGTGCTAAAATCAACTCAAAGCTATTAGTCTCCAGCAAAAATATTATACCATCTACAGGTCTCAAGAAGGGAATCCTTAATTGTAGTTAAATGTCAGTGCTGCCATACATAAAAGAGCCATTTGAACTGAATCCATTGCAAAGTACACATCCAGCTCTCTATGAACACAGAAAATAGAAATAGTAGCTGGGAACTACTCTACTTTACTCTACTCTACTTACTGACTACTCTATTCTACTACACTTTCTCACAATATGTTTTTCCTGCACAGGCAAAACCCAGCAGAATACTGAAGGGAGAGAAGAGGAAGGAAGTAAAAAAAGGAATACTATCTAAAGATTTCAAGAAAGTTTTTTGTTTACCTTGCAAGACACCAGGGCAAGAATCTTAAATAACAAGGTTTAATTTGGCATGAACCACTCATGAGATCACCTCTGCTTTTCTTCACATTCTTCATTTCTTAATCCTCTGATCTGGTTTACACTAATGATAATTAGCTTTACTTTCTAAGAGCCTTATCACTAACAAGATACAAGACAATTCTGTTTGGACTGTCTGGATTGCAGCATATCTTTGATTTGCTTTCTGACCGTGTCTCATCTATTTAAGTAGTAATTTGCTTCCTCCTTGTTCTTTTTAAGAAAGATTCGAACTAGTGGCACTCAGAGCAAATAAGCAGCATCTTCACATATAACTTACTATCGTGGACATGGAGATGGTCACCTCTGTTTTTCATTTGAAGCACACAGAGTAGGTACCTGCAAAACAGAAATAGATTAAATACAGAGAGTTCTTACTAAATTAGTTCTCTTTATGCCCACTAAAATGTGGGCATTTCAATTAACATTGTTATTTTGTTGTGGAGTAAGTTTGTAACTACTGCTCTCTGTGTAGGGTTGGAATTACAAAACTAAAATATGTCAAACAGAATGGGAGAAATATTTTTTCTCCATATGTCATTATAATCACTAAACTATTAGGGTAGATTTTTAATTATATTTCCATTATCTGTGCTGTGAAACAAAAGTTAAACAATATGCAACACATACTGATACTCAGATACTGCAGCCAGACTTATGAAGATCTCAGTCTGGTAAATAATCTCGAATAATTTTTAAAGGGAGTGAAAAAGCAAAACTTAGGCAAGTTTTGAAATGGTAATATCTCCTCCCTCAGGGAAAAACAAATGAACAAACAAAACCCACAAAACCACCAATAAAGCAAACCAACCAAACAAAACCCACAAAATAACAATGAAACAAAAACAAAGTCTCAAACCAAAATAAAAAACATACACATACCAAAAAAAAAAAAAAAAAAAAGCAAAAGTGAAGAGAAACATCATCAGGAGACAGAGAACACACACCAGGTAGCAAAAATGGAGATGAACCCAGCATTTGCAAAATCACTTTCAAGGCTGCAAATTATTTCCCTTGCTGGTCAGAAGAATCACTCTCATGTTGCTATGATGAAGCACAGCATAAGAAATCCAGGATATTGTGACTCTAAGGAAAAAATGAAAGGGAGACATAAAGGAAAAAAGCTCTTATGGAATCATGGAATGGTTTGTGTTGAAGGGACCTTAAAGATCATCTTGTCCCAAACCTCCTGCCATGGGCAGAGATACCTTTCACTAGCCCAGGTTGCTCAGAGCCCCATCCAACCTGGCCTTGGACACTGTCAGGGACAGGGAGTCCACAACTTCTCTCACTGCCCTCACAGAGAACAATCCATCTTATCTACAGGACAGTACACATTTTTACTCCTTATTAGTTAAGGTTTGAGGGTTTTTTAAGTTTGAAAACTACTCATTATTAGCTAGCACTTAGCAGGATGTTTTTACCCTGGAATTGCAAACACTAATTTATTTTCAGCTGATAAGTAATAACCACGTTATCTCTAGCAAAACAATACTTAGATAAACAAGAACAACAAATACCCTTGTGCTAAATAAACAGTATATTGTGAAGTAAATTGATAATAACGTGTTGCTTTACAAATAAACACCACATACTTTAGACAGCGTTTATGGTTTTGACACAGGTCACACCTCTGTTGTCAGATACTTTGTTCACCTGCTGTAAATAAATGAATTAAGGTTGCATAATTACAGCTGGTATTTTGTTTCACTAGTCAATACAGAACAAATAAATTAACAGACATCCTCACGTAATTATTGCTTTCCCTCTCGAAATGGTAGGAATTTGAATTTCTTACTCACAGCACAAAGTAACCCAACTCTTGATTAATTAAATATTAACTAAGTTTCTCTCTTCCACTGTAAATTGCACTGCCGTGAAGAGAGTGCCTTCCATCTTGAATCACGATTAATAATGCAAATGCACTAATTGATTCTCCTTAAGATAATGAAAAATGCATCACGCTGACAAGTGTGTTTTTTAAGTTAACCACATTTTTATATTTGTGAGCGACAAAGAAAAAAGGGGAAAGATGAGGAAGCTTGCCTATTCACAGCACACACTGAAGAATTATGTGGGTTTAGTAGCCTTCACTCTTAGTATATCAACAGATATAGATTCTTTCTTCCCAATAAGTTAGTGGAATTTATATCTATATTTTTGTTAAGTATATATTAATGAAAGGCTTTAAGCTTCAGCTTTCAAAGGGTGACTGCTAATTTTGAGTGTCTCCTCTTTCAGAGAACATGTCAGTGTACAACTGCCTTTGCCTCTATTCTTTCTCTGTAAAACCGGGGGTGGCAGCAGCACTTGTATTCCAGCAATACTTAAGAATCGCCATCAAAAGCCAGAAACATGCTGTTTGAAGGTTTTAGAGAATGCTTTGGCAGATATCCCAAGCAGAAAGTTGCTGTTCCTCAGTCATATACTGCTGAAACCAGGTGCTAAGGATATGCTGCTTCAGCCAGTTTAGGGAGGCTGAACAGAATAAATAAAGCAAGGTCTGCAGGCAGTCTCGACTGGCTTAGAAGGAAGGACTACCAGCTCTCCCAGAGAGGCAGGGCTCCTCAAGAGATTTCAGATCAAATGAAGAAAGAACAAGCTTTTTACATACTAGGCACAAGGTCAGCTACGTGCAGACTGACCCAGGGCAGTGTTGGCTGAGTTTGTGACCCCACACTGCTCAGTCCTTTCCATCAGCAGTCTTGTTCCCATCTGTGCTCCCTCTTGGAAGCTGTGGCAGCAGATCCCCTCCAGTGGTGTGCCTGCCTCCCCTGCAGGCTCTGATTTCCAGCTGCAATGGCAAGGCCCCTGGTTCAAGCTCTGCTGATGGTCAAGTGCTGAGCTGTGCCCCTGAACCCTGCCTAAAGCTACCCAAAGGTTTTACTGCAGCTGTAACACAGTGAGGTCATGGCCTGGCCACTTCAGCTGGAAGATGAAGAGCAAAGCCTGTCAAAATTCGGCAGCTCTCTCTGCTTTGCTATGTCCTGCAGTAGTCAAGGGTAGGCAGCACATGCCCATCAGTACTGCTGAGGGGCCTGCAGAATGCTGCTGCACAACCCACAGTTTTCTTTATGGACTGCTTGTAGAAGAAATGTGTTGGGCAGTATAATACATAACTGTTAAGTGAACAAAGAAGCCTGATGAAAACAATAATGAGGAAGTAATACTGCCCAAATTTTTTCAGAATCGGAGAATCATATAGGTTGGAAAAGACCTTTAAAATCATTGGGTCCAACTGTATCTAGCAGAATGTTGAGTTTTACAATTTTCAGAACTTCTTTACTAGTTTTTACTAATTTGAATTCAACATCTTTTAAATCAAAGTCTTTGTGAGGACATACTGAACTGCAAGACTCAACCTGCTCTCTCCTGGTAATATAAAAGCAGTGGGCTTAACCCACAGCATAGGGGATATAAGTTTGAATAACATTAACATACAGACACTGGGACAGTTTGCCAAGAAACTTTGGAGCTAATATAGTCGGAGAGTTTCCCAAAGCAGAATAACTTCTGGAGGTCCCCTCAGTCCTGTTCTCTCTGACGCGTCTTTTTCTCTGCCCCCTAAGAAAAGCATTCTTGTCCTTATAAACTTTCAGCTAACACAATAATCCAAGAGACCACGATACCCTTAAACGACCTACTGTTCTTCTTATTTTAGGGAGAACAGGATGCACTCACACGGGCATTTGCACCGCTCAGCGTCCTCTGCTGCTCAACTGCCAAAGCACCGGGAAGTTCTACTTTTGCTTGAATAAGGAAACCGGGTCTGGTGTGTGTTTTGTGCGATACAGCAGCTCGAGAGCTCCTCGAAAAGTTTTCTCTCTCGCCTACAGCCCTCTGCAGTGTGAGCCCTGATTCGGGGCGGCACGGCCCCGTCCCCGCTGCCCGCGCACCATTCCGGGCGAGGCCCG